GTACATTTTTTATGCTCTCGAGAACTTGGCCAATAATTTGGTGCAAAAAAAAAAAAAAACAATATAACGGCCAAGTTCGAGAATTGCGAATACAGCAGATTAGGGTGGTCGCACCAATCGACCCCCCCCCCCCCTTTTGTACCAACAGAAAAAAACATCACAAAACAAAAAGGGTGGGGGAGGAGGGAATCCATAAACACCGGCATTGCAGACACACAAAGATAGGGTTTACCCAATTACAGTAGAAGGTGCGAGTCTCAAAAGGGGTGTGCAAATATTCGTATCATAACAACTATCAAAATTTATTTCTGCCAAAAGAACTTGCATATGTCTTCCTGGGAAACACATGAATGGACGGGACGGCGCAGCCGCCTGCTGGAAAAGCGCAGGTTGAGGCCAACTGACAACGAAATGCCCAAGTATAGCCATAGCACACAGATTGACAGGAACAACATTAATAGATTCTTTTGACAAGAACGCCAAAGCATTTTTGGCTTTTTTTACAACTTTATTGCGTTTATTCTACCGCTGCGTAAGCCGCATGCGCTCCGCTAGAAGTCGCTACGGAAGACTGCATCACCGCGACCGCCGTATCGCGCGGCGGCTGCAGAAAACGATAGTTCTGTTTTCGATGCATGTGTGCTGGCTGCGCACGTGCTTTCCAAACCCAGTCATTTTTTGCTATCTATGATTGCATCTGCTACGGTTTTGTCCACAGAATTTGTGGAAAGCACCGTTACTTTGATTGGTCAAGCGTCGGACGCTTGTTTACTTTCAAAGTTCTGTCAGTTACGCCGTCGCCGTGCATGAACGTGACAAGAGCTACTGCTGTTTTGTCTGCGGCGATTGTCTCAATAATATTCACAGTTCTGACAGTATGTGTGTGCGCTGGCCGAGCAAGTCGAAGCTGCCAGCACGCTGCTCTCGGTTTTCATTCGACGGTTTCGGTACTAAAGTTCATACGGCCTGCCCCGAAGAGGAAAAGTGTTCGGAATATCCAAATTTTGGCCCAATTACCCCAGTAGTATTTGGCTGGGGAATTTCACGCTATCTGCCAGCTTCGCACCATTGAGATTCTACTGTACATTTAGATAAACGTCTCCTAAATTCATTTACAGTAAAATGGGATGGGTTCACGAAAAGCCTGAATCGAATTGGGCTGCATTTTCCTCAATGCGGCCAGATCACGCACAGAAATTTCTATTTTCAGGAGATTTTCCTGACAATCTTACAAACTGGTCGAAATCTGTGAGTCTCCCGGAAAATCAGGGAGACATGGCATGTATGCGAATAAGTGAAAAATTTCATGTCAGTACCCCATGAAAAGTACAGAATTTTTTTGAGGGCTCTTTTCCTTTTTTTTACAAAACCATAAGGAAAACCAGCACATTGAGAAGGCAAGGAACGCATAGGGGATGCTAATTGTACGATTTTAGTGCACTGTTTGAAGTGTAGTGTATAGTAACTACAGCTTGTAAAAAACAAACTAAATTCATTATTTTCCTTTGGTTTCGTCCTGAAATGAAGATTGTGTCTGCCAATTCCAGCACCTAATCTTTAACCTGGCAAAAAGTCTGGGTGGCAAATTATGATTTTGTCAAATACACCTTTAAAAATGAAATTTTCACCTTGATTTTCTCTTTTATTAACAAACCCATCATGGTGAAATGAATGACACCAGAGTTCTCGGAGTAAAATTTATCAATCTAAACAAATTCATTGTAGCACTTAAGTGTGTGTTTACCACAACTGCGCACGAAGGAGAGCACTTGACGACATTAACATCCATTAGGTCAAGTGTAAACAACAACTAACTACATCACAAGTTTGTGTCGGCTGGCATGCTCCTTGAGAGTGCTCCCCCAAAGTTAATGTCGAGCTCACCTGCATGCAATGGCTAGCGTGGCGAGTTAATCACTCTTGTGAGTGCTCATGTGGCAACTTGTGTTTACAAAAAAAAAAAAAGAGCAATAATAATAAAAAACTCGACACCACTGCCTCCAACATCAGCTGCTGGGAACTCAACCAAACAAGGTTTCCTATTATGATAAATAGGCTGTTAGCTACTTCTCGTGACAGAAAAAACAAGACGTCAACTTTTTGTGTCCATACTCGTTTAAAAGCATTGCACAAAAATCACCAATCAAGACAAAGTTCTAAACAACTCAAAGCCAAGAAGACATTAAAAAAAAAAAAGAGATAAAATCTCCATTACTGTCTGATAACCCATAGGGAAAGGACTGTCGAATAGAAGAGGGTAACCATGCCTCTAAGGTCCCATACATTAGAGGCGTATATTATAAAGTGCAAATGGCTAATTAATGAGCATTTACATAAAGCCGTAATCTGCCACATAGTAAGCTAAGAGGTACAGAAATTTCCAGCTGCTAAACATACCCTTGGGCATATCAGTACAGTAAAAGCTTATTAATTCAAACCGACACCCAGGTTCTGGCACAAGCCTATGTATTTCTATGGGGCAACACTTCCAATATTCGAGCATGTCCATATCCACAACAGCTAATTCAGACTGAAAGTACCTGGTTTTCATACCTGCTCGCAGTTGTCGGCCCATAATGATAACAATCTGTAGCAAAGCCAAACCAAACGAAGTTTATTAAAGATGAAAAACAACGAAAGAGCAGCATCTCTCAGCAGATGAGAATTTGGATGCTGGGCTAGAGCTCTCGGGCAAGCTGCAAACAATGATCATGACATAGGGACAGAAGTAACACAAACATATGCAAATTACTGATTACTTTAAATTTTGATTGCATTCAACTTTGTATTGAAAATATACATGTTTTGAAGCACAAATAGCGCCATATATTTCGCCATTAGGGCTCACCACTCAAATGAATGCATGTCAAGACTTGTTTCTGATTAAACAGACTGGTAAATTAATTCTGTTTGCTGCTAGAGCTACATGCACTTAATTTACAAAGTCACCTGCCACGTACATGTAGTAGCACCAAGTTTGCGATAACTAATGCAGAGGTGGCTTCATTGCGATCTGCCCATGCAGCTAGGGCATGATGCCTGTTCATTCTAGCGCGTACCCATTCATTCAAACTGCACTTAATTTGAACAGCAGAATCGCGAGTTGCTGGACGATCATTGTGGAATATTTCATCGCGCAACGGGTTAGATACGGACAAGGAAGGGACAAGGCGCTGATGTGCCTTCTCTGTCTGTATCTCACCTGTTACACTGTAAAATATTCTATGATAATTTGAACAATTTTACATTCCCCTACAAGTTGAAATTAACATGCTTTTACTATACTAGGCAAATTGTAAGGCAGATAGAATTTCAGTTTTATGAAATGGCACATAAAAAAAAACCTTCAGCAGCAGCTTCAATAGTTTCGCCTTATGATGCCTTCAAACAACAACTTGAGAGCTTGAAAGCAAGCAAGAATTTAAGAATAATAGCCATAGTGGCAGTGTAATGTAGGCAGCAGTAAGCTTGGGAAACCAATATGTGACAGTCCTAATTAAAGGCAAGCACGGCATCCATCTTTATCAAAGAAAAAACATGTGAGCATGGCAAATAGCCTCACGCCACATATGTGGCATGACACAGCAATGAAATATGAAAATCAAAGGATTTCGATAAGGTTGTCCATATTGCAACAAAGAGTGCTTTAAAAAAAACTGCAATGTGGACTGACCAAGGAATGGCTCTCTCTCCCTTTGTTTTTACAGGTTACCAGAGCAAACACCAAATGGGAGGTTCCAGGTTATATAAACCAGACGCTCACGTGTTCCCGTTCATTAAAATGACGAGTGTATCTACACCCTCATGCTATAAACCACACTTTAATTAAGGAATATAGTTTCCTACACCATTTCCAGTAATGTAGCTAGAAATTTATTTTGGGAATTAGGGGGGGGGGGGGGGGGTAGGCATTCATACAGCATGTATGTTCGTGCATTTGCATGAGTGCTTCTTTATTGATTGATATGTTGAGTTTAACGTCCCAAAACCACTATATGATTATAAGAGACGCCGTAGTGGAGGGCTCCGGAAATTTCCACCACCTGGGGGTTCTTTAACATGAACCCAAATCTGAGTACACGGGCCTACACCATTTCCGCCTCCATCGGAAATGCAGCCGACCTGCGGGTCAGCAGCCGAGTACCTTAGCCACTAGACCACCACGGCGGGGCTGTGTGCCTCTTTATACAGCCGTGAAGCGAAACGATAATGGGGGAGGGGGGCCCTCTCCGACTGCTCCCCTCAACTCTCCCGTTGAACGATGTTCAATATCGGGAATATGTGGATGACAAGAAAATAAAACGATGAAGACAGCAGCACACGCGCGCATAGGCAACATAAATTTAACCGTGTTGAAATGACAACTGATGATCGCGTTGTGACACAGGGCAGCCCAAGTCGCGACCAAAATCTACGAGAAACAAAAGTAACAAACGACGATAACTAATGCGCGTGTGTTACTCAGTCCCCCGTCCCCAGATAACGCTATAGATCTTGTCATGACCCAACAACTAGCCCAAGCAGTCACTCTTCCGCGTCTTAGATGAGAGCGCAAAAAACAGAAACGCAGCAGCACACGCTGACAACTGGGTGCTTTTACCGCCGTCAGCCCTGTGGTAGAATACACAACAACCCCCTTTTTTTTTCGAGCTCTGTTCCGCAAGATGAAGATTAAGACACACGCTTAATTTACAGATTCACTGAACGAAATTACAACCAAGCACGAACAAGTGCACACAAGACAAGCACGAACCAGTGTTTTGAGCAATGAACGCAGCTATCAAGAAACAGCTATCAATATATACTCTACATATACTCACTCTCGCAGGACATTGCTTAATTAACATACACCAATTAAATAAATAGATAACTTTTTACTGGTGCCAACAGCAGCGAAGAAATCACGGGTAGTGCGCTGCATGTTTCTCTACGAACGCGCGTTCCAAATGAGTGTCATTATGTGACAGCTCTGAACCTCACTAAAAGAACCAAGTGCGTACTTATGTTGTTGCTTTTCTTCTTGGATCAGTTTCTTCAGTTCTTCAATGCGCTCCAAAGTAAGATTTCGGACGATTAAGTCACCGGGGGTGTCCAAGCCACCGCAATCTCCTCGCGTTCTCCTACAAGAATGCGGCGCGTTGAACCACGGTTCAAACCCACGTGCAGTGTTCAGAACGTGGAGGAGGAGGGGTACGAAAAAAGGCGAAGGGGGTAGGGTGCGCGCGTTTCATGACTTACTTGAGAGACTCCACTTTCTCCAAGAGATCGGCATACTGCAGAGCACAATTCTGAAAAGGAATGACGCGCTAGTAATACAATCGGGTGATTTGGATAGCAAACATTAAACAGCAGTGTCGTTATTCGGTCTACCTTTTGGGAAAACCAATCGTTCGGTCGATTAGGCTCGCCCAAAGGCCGTATCGCACTGCTTACGGACATCCTGAAATTTAACGTACGGTGATCGTTATTGCGCGCGCAGAGCACAGCACCAAAACGACGTGCAAGATGCTAGGCAGGTCACTTACCAATCCTGGTCTCCGCTTCTTAACACCGATGACGCCAAACACAGCCGTTCGCGCGTAGACCATGTATCTGTAGCAGTTTCTTTCGGGTGGCTCTCTGGAAGATCGGGCAACGGAGAGCATGGTTCGTTGGTTGGTACTTCAAGCGGCGTTTCACTTGTCATCACTACTGCATCGCATTTGGCGCCAAGCGTTGCAACTGCGCGAACTCCTTGGCGGGCCACAGTAAAGTCCCTAGATGAAACAAGTTTCCAAGGTAGCGACACCCTCCCTTTTTCTCCTCGCTTATTTGTCTGAAGCGCCCCCTAGAAGGTTTAAAACTTTCATTCAAAATCGATTGTTTGGATTCTGTTGCTACGGTGAATAGATGTAAATGAAACAAAATGAAACGAAATAAGACGTAGAATAAACAGTTACCTTTATGAACGTTAAACGGCACAACACAAGAGCAAGCGGGATGTGCGTTACTCAACCGGCAACGTTGGGCAGTTCTGTACTTTACACCACTAGCCATGGCGTCTCGCGTAGTACATTTTAGTTCCACGGCCGCGGTATTTCGTCCAGTTCTAACTAGTTCACTTCTCCGATTGTGTTTTGTTCGTGCTGTGACACAGTGAACGTGCTTCTTGCTGGATCCTGTAAGTGGCCACAGGGCGTGACGTTGTGACGATTGATTACAACCGGCTTGTGCACACGCAAGAAAAAAAAACTACGACCAGACTGATACGAACACTCGTCCAGCAGCACTGCGATGACGTTTTTTTTTTTTTTTTTTTTTTTTAATGTGCCCATTTGGACAATTGTGATGCCAAGTGATTCTGATGCGGTGCTGGGAACTTCCTGAAAAGTGAGAGTTCTACTGGTGAGGTGTCTCGAAGCAGCGCGTTTCAGGTCAAGCGGGAACTGGTCAAGAGTGAAATGTGAAATGCTTCGTGAAAGAGTGAAGCAGGCTGCTGCATTGCACCTGTTCTTTGTAGCATTTATTTGGCGTCTATTGATCGTGCTTTAGCAAATGCCGTTGACGCAGGAAAAGTCCCTAAGATTTTTAGATATGTGGACGATTTTCTCGTGGAGTTAGCTTCTACTAACCCTGTAACGCACTCTTGGGAGGTAGATTTGGTTTTGAACCTGTTCAGACAACATGGAAAAGGCTTGCTTTTTACCCATGAACTGCCCATCGACGAAAGCTTGCAGTTTTTATATATTAACCTGACTCTGGGCGAGGGTCATGTCTGTTGGAAGTTCAGCCCTAGAACGAGAAAAGGACTTCTTTCATATGATTCTGCACATTCAAAAGTGGTGAAGAGCTCTATAGCTGCTATGTGTTTTCATTCTGCGCTGTCCAAGTCATGCCAGCACACAGTGTGTGATAGTTTTTTTCTGTCAGTTATCGCGGCTCACTGTAGCCGGGTTTACTGATTCGTTCTTAGTGTGTCTAAAACATTGCTTCAGAGGCTGAAAGGGGAACGCAGGAGGCCAGAGCCATCGCTAGGCACTATGAATTATGGCACTATGAATTATGAAATTATTGTGCAAGCTAGTTGAAATAATACTTTGTTTCCAGGCATATTCGAGAGGACATTCATCTTATTGTCTGGATCAATGGATGGCGATCTGGTGACGCTGCTATGTGAGTAGCTCTTGCTAGCATATCTACATTGTCATTCGAATGTATTGTTAGAAATACTAGAAACTACACTTGCGGGCAGCGTTAACCCTGTAATATGAGCAAAAACTCCTTTTAACTTCTTTGTTGGTGCCTCATGGAAGAAATGCTACATGTAACATGATTTCCCTTATCTTACAGAAGTTAAACGGAGCTTTTCACAAAAAGATTTCAGCAACACTATTAGTGGCGACAAGGCTGGGCAGAGATACTTTGAAATTGTATTGTGATAATATATAAGATACACAGGCAAAAAGTGTTAGCGATACAGATGCAAGATACTACTGCAACAATTGTATCTTAAGATACTTTGATACATTCAAAAATTTACTAAATATCCTCATAATGTAGTACTGAGCTTTTGGTCTGCTTAAAATTTTTTTAAATGTGATCAGTTTCATTTATTTTAATGAAATGTCTGTTGGTGTTTGAAAAGCTTTGTCCTCCTTGGTCAAAGTACGTTAGTTTACTTCCGAAAGAATGCATTAGGGTTTGTTTTAGCTGCTTAATAGGACAGCTCTTTAAACACATCGCTGACTTGCTTTGGGTTTTTGCGTTCGTGCTTGTCATTTTTCTAATTGATGAGAGTAGCGGTTAAGCCTGCCGACCATCTGGCGGGTTGCCGTCTAATCTTACAAGCTTCAATACGAAGCATTCACACAATTTATTTATTTATTCGTGTATACTACAGCCAAAAGGCCGATACAGGGTGGAGTACTGAAATACACTCCACACATCGTTCAAAGACACAAGCCCTACACAGTGAAATCAGTACAAATCACCACTTTTCACTGCAATGAAAGCTCAGGCAAGTTTAGTTGAGTGAGCATTTCGGTCACTGATTCTGTGTACCCATATTTCAACATAATAAACCTTGCTTCCTGTCTTTGTATATTTTAAATTTTCTTTATTTCGTTCTTTATAAGCGGATCCAATATTATGCTTCCGTATTCAAGTGCATGTCGTATGAAAGTTATGTATGCAGTTTGTTTAACTTCTCGGGAGGCAAATTTTACCTTATGCCTTAGTGTCCAAAGCTTTATCTCTACGGTATAACATAAATTAGTAATATGCTTTTTCCAAGATAATCATCAGATATTGTAATGCCTAAATACTTAAGGTGCCTCATCTGTCTTAATGGCTTACCATCTAGCATATTTAAAACTAACACATTTTTTGTTTTCCTAGTTATGTGCGCATATACTTTTTGCTCGTGGTTTATTGTATTTTTCATCATGTGCACCAATTAGTAATTGATTGCAGTGCTGAAGCTAACTCTGATCATCATGACATGATATTTTAGAATATATTAGGCAATCCTCCTCAAATAGACAAACAGTAATTTTGCTGCTAAGGTCATTTGTTATGTCATTATTATAACAAAGAAGATAGTGCAAATAACAATGTGCAGTTTTACATTGTCCATAAAAGAGTGTTTATGCAATACCAATGGTCAGTGTATAGTAGCCACAAGGTATTTTGTATATGTAGAGCAAATCGAACTGCATCAAACTATTATATTATTCTTATCTGCTGGTGTAAACAGTTAGTTATCTATATGCTATCTAACGTGCAGTCAATTTCTCTTCAATCACAGCATGTGTACCCTAGAACTGCCTCAGACCATGTGTAGAAAGTAGCAGTCACTCTGCTTGAGACAAAACCATTTATTGAGCCAACTTGTGCTCAGAAAACTAAGTAACTGAAAGTACAAGCAAAACGTGCTGTACTCTAACAACGGCAATAAGTGTAGTTGGCCTTCGGTAATCTGATCATCGCCAGGACGCGTCTTGTTTTATAGATAAGTGATCGCACTTTCCAGCATAATTGCTCATGCTCGTTTAAGTTGCCGAACAAATTAGGGTGCTCACGTACTATGCGTAATTTTGATAATAATTGTTGAGGTTTAACATTCTTAAACCACAATATCATTATAAGGGACGCTGCAATGGAGGGCACCATAAATGTCTGACCATCTGCTGTTTTTAATGTGCACTTGAATCTGAGTACATTTACCTGTAGCACTTCACCTCCATCAAAATGTGGCTGCCGAAACAAGATCAGTGCATAATTTCAACAACACTCGGAGACAATCTTGTATATTTTGAAACATTGTGACGTGGTTTGCGCTGAGTGGTGATATCAGTTTTTTGTGACTTAAACCCAATCACTCAAAAATAAAAAGTAACAGCGTGTGTCACTATAGGTGCACAAATCGTCGCAGGACAGTGCCACTGTTGATGCTATCGCCGCCTATAGCTTTGATTAGCTCGTAGTTTGTAGATCTACATATTTTTTGTGATTTCACTACAACGAAATTTTCACTTCAAATAAATTTTTTTTTTGCACCCTTTCAGTTTCGTTGTAGCGAGGTTCGACTGTATAAAAAATATTTTTCGTGGCAGATGTGGCTTTTTTTATGAGTTCATATATAAATTTTTTTATGAGTGTATATATAATTTTTTGTAAATCTGGTTGTTTCTTCAGTGTTCGATGTGTATTCTAAACCAGTGTAAATCCTGACATGTCCTGAAAAAAACGGAAATGACATGTCTGAAGCCATACATCTGTGATCAAAACTAACTTGCATTGCTATAAAACACACACTTTGATGCTCCAAAGCTGCTCGAAAACTCCCATTTTACCACTTCTAAGCTGCTCCAAAACAGCATTATTCCTGCTTTCTGAACTGCTCCACAAGACTGAAGCCAACTTCCACCCCTGAGGTTTCTGTAAAGCTCAAAAGAACAGCATTGCCATGTTGCAATGCTGTGGCAACCCCTTTTTAAGAGGCATGCACGGTGTAGCAAATCTTGACTTTTTTATATAAGCTCTCTCTTATAAATAGGGTATCACGTACGTATTTTCTTGTCAAGCCTTATTTGTGTCTTTTACAAGCAGTTGTCTCTTACATCAGTGTCTCTTATGAAGGGGTTCGAATCGGTCTGGCAGTGCTGGAATGGAGAGGAGAAAGATAATTTAGGAAATTTTTCTTTATATGGCCGCCCCAGAAATGTTGCCTGCGCAAGTCTTTCTCGTGGAAGTCTTAGTGCTCATTCACTCACACACACATGCACGCACACACACACACACAAGCACACTCTCTCTCTGTGTGAAGAGCTCGGCCTTGGGTAAGTGCTTTATCTTAAATATTTCTCTCTTGTTTTGCAATGCAGCTGGGGAAGGTGCGGATCAGCATTCCATGTCGAGCGATAACGTGTCCACACCTACAGTGCTTTGATGCCTCGCTGTATTTGCAAATGAATGAGAAGAAGCCAACATGGATATGTCCAGTGTGTGACCGGCCAGCCACCTTCTCGTCGTTGGTGATTGATGGGTGCGTGGCTTTGTGTGCATTTACTTTTTTTTGGCCATGGCGAGGATGGCTAGACTCACACCCAGTGCTGTTAAAATGGATTGCAGTGACTGTATGTTTTGAGGAACTGCACTGGCCCTTGAGAGACTGGGTTGCCATAACTGCCTTAGTCACGGGGAAAATGGTATGACACTCCTGCAGTCCTGGTTTCCAGCCTGTTGCTGAAAGAGATTTCAATGCAGTGTTGCCTGCTCTCTCTTTACACCTCCATTCTAGCTATGTCAGCTGTCATGACTGGAACTATTTTTACAGTGAGTGTCAGCTAAACTTTTTTTCTGGCAAATGTCATTGCTATGTATTTTTCACGTCTTGCAAAGGTTTTGTGCAGGGCTTCACATATCCTAGAAACATAAAAACAAAGTACCTGAAAAAAATGTAAGTACCATTATTACTTGGGTAATGAATGCACTCGCATAATAAATGTATCCCCCCCAACTTCGGTCATAAAAATTCTTATTTCTTCCCCCCCCCCCCCCCCCTGCTTAATAAACGCACCCTTTACATTTATCCGCTGTAGTTCCGCCAACGGACAGCTGGTGCCTCCTCACCCATTAGATCATTGGATCTCTTCCGTTTTTGATTACTTTGCCAACCCCCCTCAATCACCTATGCTTCCCCCCCCCCCCTTCGCCCGTTGCCGCGTGCTGTAATAAATGCATCCCCTACATTCATCCGCAGCAGTCCCACTAACTGACACCTGGCGCCTCCTCACCGGTTCGCTCTATTCAGTTCTTTATTACTTTGCCAATGCCCCTCAACCGCCCGGGCTCACTCCTTCCTCGCCCTTGCTGCGTGTCTATTGCTTTACTTTCGATCTGTGCCCGGCAGGTCCCTGGTCTTACCTGTGCGCCACAGCCAGTTAACAAGGAGAGTAGAGAATCGCAGCTGATACCATACAGCCAGCGAGTGAAGGTCACCAAACTTCCTGCGACACCTCCCCCCCCCCCCCTCCCTCTTTTTCAGCCAACTTTCTTTGCACGCTCTTGGGTGCCCCTCGAGATCACAAGCAGATACCACTGTTGGGAGAAAAGAGGGCAGCCCAGGGACAGCCTGCAGAAGATAGCGCCTTCGACCACAGAACATTAGTAATATGCAACAAATAAGCTGTTTCCAAGCCGTGTACGCGTATGTGAATTGTAAAACACTGAGCAAACTAACCTATTTTTTGTATTACTGCATTTTTTTCCTTCTCCCAAAGAAGTTTTCATAAAATATACCCCACGTAATAAACGCAACCCCCAACTTTGCTCAGATTTTTTTAGAAAAGAAGTGCGTTCATTATGCCAGTAAATATGGTAAGTTTTTTGTGTAGGTGTCATCAAAAAAAGGGAAAAAGAACACCAGGCCTGCACATACCGCACAGCACAGTGACAACGAAAGCCAGAAGAGTGGCCTTTCAGAGCCTTTGTTGAACACTCTCAAGACATTTTTCTCATGTGATCAAGATCAAGACATTTTTCTCATGTGAAAGTAAGTGAGGTGTATACTGTAGGCAAGTCAAGCAGCGATGGCGTAGTGGTTAGAGCATCCGCTTCGCATGCAAAAGGTCCGTGGTTCAAATCCCGGTGCCGCGCAGTTCCTAACCGGATAAAAAAAAATCCGCGTGGTGATGGAGCTGCATTACGAGGTCTGGGGTGCGGCCTCACCGGTAACCACCGCCGGGAACGCACTCCCTTACCAGAGAAGGATTTGCCACCCTGGTGCAGTATCTGGCCACTACCTCCCACATGCATACGTCAAATAACTCACGGCCCTCAGTCCCCAGCAGCTGCGAAGCAACTGACCACGGCGGCGGTCAGATCTGCAACGCAGCAGAGGGTTCTAAGAATCTCTGGATCCGGACAGGCCGCCATTGTAATCTGAACTTGGCAACGTTTAACGCTAGAACCTTATCTAGTGAGGGAAGTCTAGCTGTACTATTCGAGGAGCTAGAGGGTGTTAAATGGGATATAATAGGGCTCAGTGAGGTTAGGAGGACAGATGAGGCCTATACGGTGCTACAGAATGGGCACGTCCTTTGCTATCGGAGCTTGGCTGACAGAATAGAACTAGGAGTTGGGTTCCTAATTCACAGAAACATAGCTGGCAACATAGAGGAATACTATAGCATTAATGAAAGGGTGGTAGGTATCGTAATTAAACTGAATAAGAGATACAAGATGAAGGTGGTACAGGCTTACGCGCCTACATCCAGCCATGATGACGCCTCAGTTGAAAGCTTCTACGAAGACGTGGAATCGGCAATGGGTAAGGTAAAAACACAGTATACAATACTGATGGGAGACTTTAATGCAAAGGTAGAGAAGAAGCAGGCTGGAGACCAGGCAGTAGGAGATTATGGCATCGGTACTAGAAACGCCAGAGGAGAGCTACCAGTAGAATTCGCAGAACGCAATAATTTGCGGATTTTGAATACCTTCTACCGAAAACGAGAAAACTGCCAGTAGACATGGAGGAGCCCTAATGACGAAAATAAGAACGAAATAGTATAATGACCGCACACCCAGGAATCGTGCAGGATGTGGAAGTGGTTGGCAAGGTACGATGCAGTGACCATAGAATGGTACGGTCTCGAATTCGCCTGTACTTGAAGAAGGAAGGGCAGAAACTGATACGCAAGAAGCCAATCAATGAGCTAGCACTGAGAGGGAAAGTACAGGAATTCAGAGTGTCGCTGCAGAACAGGTACTCGCCTCTTATTGAGGAAACCAACCTTAGCGTAGATACAATGAATGATAATCTGACGAGTATCATTACGGAGTGTGCAGTGGAAGTTGGAGGCAGGGTAGTTAGACAGGACACTGGCAAGCTTTCCCAGGAAACGAAGAATCTCATTAAGAAGTGTCAAATCATGAAAGTCTCAAGTACAACAGACAAAATAGAACTGGCAGAGATTTCGAAGTTGATTAATAGGCGTAAGGTATCCGACGTAAGAAGGTATAACATGGAGAGAATTGAACACGCTCTGAAAAACGGAGGAAGCGTCAAAGCAGTGAAGAGGAAACTTGGGATAGGCAAAAATCGGGTGTATGCACTAAGCGACAAAGAAGGCAAAATAACTACCAATACGGATAGGATAGTTAAAATAGCGGAGGAGTTTTACAGAGATCTGTACAGTAGGCGGGACAACCACGACTTTAATACTACAAGAACTAGCAGTAACTCAGATTACACCCCACCAGTAATGATAGAAGAAGTCAGAAAAGCCTTGAAGAGCATGCAAAGAGGCAAAGCTGCTGGTGAGGATCAGGTAACATAAGATCTGCTGAAAGATGGAGGACAGATTGTGTTAGAAAAACTAGGCACCCTGTTTACGAGGTGTCTCCTGACAGGAAGAATACCAGAGTCTTGGAAGAACGCTAACATCATTTTAATACATAAGAAAGGAGATGACAAGGACTTGAAGAGTTACAGGCCGATCAGCTTGCTCTCTGTAGTATATAAGCTATTTACAAAGGTAATTGCTAACAGAGTAAAGAAAACATTAGAATTCAATCAACCAAAGGAACAAGCAGGATTTCGAACAGGCTATTGAACAATCGACCACATTCATACAATCAATCAGGTAATAGTAGAGAAATGCTCAGAATATAGCCAACAACTATACATAGCCTTCATAGATTACGAGAAGGCGTTTGATTCAGTAGAAATATCAGCCGTCATGCAGACACTGCGGAATCAGGGCGTCGATGAAGTATATATAAACATCCTGGAAGAAATCTGCAGGGGATCAACTGCTACCATAGTTCTTCATAAAGAAAGCAACAGAATACCAATCAAGAAGGGTGTAAGGCAGGGGGACACAATCTCCCCAATGCTATTTACCGCGTGCTTACAGGAGGTTTTCAGAAACCTAGAATGGGAACAGTTAGGGATAAGAGTTAATGGAGAGTACCTTAGTAACCTGCGCTTCGCCAATGACATTGAATTGCTGAGTAGCTCAGGGGACAAATTGCAATTCATGATTACGGAGGAGAGCAGCAAGGTGGGTCTTAAAATTAATCTGCAGAAAACGAAAGTAATGTACAACAACCTTGGAAGAGAGCAGCGCTTCGAGATAGGTAATAATGCACTTCAAGTTGTAAAAGATTATGTCTACTTAGGGCAGGTAGTAACAGCGGAGCCGAACCACGAGATTGAAATAACTAAAAGAATAAGAATGGGGTGGAGCACATTTGGCAAGCACTCTCAAATTATGACAGGTAGATTGCCACTATCCCTCAAGAGAAAGGTATATAACAGCTGTATCTTGGCAGTACTTTTCTACGGAGCAGAAACCTGGAGACTTACAGAGAGGGTTCAGCTTAAATTAAGGACGACACAGCGAGCAATGGAAAGAAAAATGGTAGGTGTAACCTTAAGAGACAAGAAGAGAGCAGAGTGGATTAAGGGACAAACGGGGGTTAAGGATATCATAGTTGAAATCAAGAAGAAGAAATTGACATGGGCCGGGCATGTAGCGCATAGATAGGATAACCGCTGGTCGTTAAGGGTAACTAACTGGATTCCCAGAGAAGGAAAGCGGGTTAGGGGGAGACAGAAGGTTAGGTGGGCAGATGAGACTAAGAAGTTTGCGGGTATAAGTTGGCAGCAGCAAGCACAGGACCGGGTTAAATGGTGGAACATGGGAGAGGCCTTTGTCCTGCAGTGGACGTAGTCAGGCCGATGATATATATATATATATATAGGTATATTTTGTTTTGGTCACTAACAATGTCCCCTATTATTTTGTCGGTGCATATACATACTACAAGGTTGACGATGTGCTGAACGAAAACTTTATTTCCCAAAGTTTTATTCGAGGTCAGGCCTTCATCAGGTAGGCTTTTTTTTTGCCAGAGAAAAGTTTTTTCTCGGATGAAAGCCAGTCTTTAGATAGAAAGCAAAAAAAAAGTTCTCTACCTCGTAGTATTTCTTCTACTGGATCATATATATATATATATATATATATATATATATAT